CAATTGAAAGTGAAGGCAGTGTAACAGACAGATGCAATGTTGCAAGGCGGAGACTTTTAAAAAGGAAAGAGAAACTGCCCCAGAACAGTGAAAAGGCCAACAAAATAACAGCCAAGATAGCTGAATTCATCGCATTGGATGACCAGCCGTTATCTGTTACCTTTTTTTCTCTGAATGCATTGCATAAAGATCGGAAAAAATCGGAATTGGCAGATTGTCAAAATCAAATGATCGGAAGAAAAAAAAGGTGATCGGGACATCCCTAATTGGTAGTCATACATATAAATGTTTAGAGTAGGAAAGGTATGTTTAACTTGAGGCTTGATGAGGGCAAGTAAAAGTAACATCTATGGATTTCTTCATGTTGCAGTTTATACGTGGAAGGTCGCAAATGTACGTTTTTTTAAAATTAGAGCAAGCTTCTAGCTTCTTTTCAGTATTAGTATTGAATGTCATATATCTTATGACATTATCCCCCACTCTAAATGAAGCGCTAAGTGAATGCAGATACATAAACTAATGCTCCTCTTGTTTCAAATCTTCGGTATTTAATACAGATATGTTAGTTAAAATGATATATTTTTTGTTGTGGATAAACTGCCCTGTGTGCGGAAACAGGCTCACACCAACAAATATGGATGGAAACAGAATATTAATTTTGATAAAGACATGTTGTTAACTTTGGAAATTACATCGGTCTTTTTTCAGTACAGTTTGGCTTTAAAATGTTGTGGAGCTGCCACCCCTGGAATCCATTTCTACAAATAGTATCATACTCATTTTAGTGAAGCCTAATTAATATCATCAACTGAAATATAACTGAATTGTTGTTTCATGAATGTAACTTTGTAGTTTCAAACTACTCAGTACAGCCCTACTAAAATGAGTAACACAGCAGTGATAGAGGCAGACGATTTATTACCGGCTGCATCGCGTGAACACGTGGGTAGAGCCTCTCTCCCAGGGCCTGCCGGTGTGCAGGGAGGGGGTCGGGCTCATCGCTGGGGTTTCCCTCTGACGATGGTCTGAAGGGCCTGGTGTCTATGGACAGCTGCCTCCTGGAGTCTCTGTTGAATACAAACACAGGTTTTTCTAAGACTCTCACAGCACAAACACTTTGGTTTAATGTAAAAGGGGAATATTATTTATATGTATAAAGTTGGAGGTTACCTGTCTCTATCTCTACGAGATCCCGCCCGAAGCCCTCCACTTCTCCTCTCTCTTTCTCGGTCTCTGTTTCTCAAGCGCTGCATTAGATCTACAGACACAAAAACACATTGAATAGAAGTTCACTGACGAGTGTAAACCTCTTGTGTAAAAAAAAAAAAAAATATCATGTGAAAACTGCTTGAAGCATCACAAAAGTGGCATTGAAAGCAACAATGAATGAGTTCTATAATACAGTATAGTTTCTATGTATTGTCATACTTGAATTGTAATCGTGATGACACGTACTGCTGGCCTGCATGCCCTTGCTGACACTCTGCACACAGTCCAGGTTGGGCAGCTTATCGTTGGACAGGAGGGCCAGGGCGATGGCCGTGTAGAAGCTGCGGGCCACTCCGCTGCCCTCGCCCGGCTCATCTTTGAAGGTGACCTTCACCCGGTGCACGGCCATGGGTGTGGTGGTGCAGCGCCGGCCAAAATGTGTGTTCAGCTGACGCATGGTCTGCTGTATGAGCTGGTCTCGGTCCCGGTCCACCTCCAGGGCCAGGTCTCTGGATTGCAGGTTCCTCAGCTTCTCCATCTCACGGCGGAACTTGGATTCCTTTACCTCAAAGCCGCCTAGCTCTGTGAGGATCTGGGAGGAGAAACAACTAAATTATAATTTCCTTCTTCTCTAACATCAAGGGAACCATCACCCAAATTAAAGAATATATGCCATTTCATTTGGGAATAAAATCAAATAAGAGTTTCTATACTGCATCTTTATATATTTCTACACTGATTGTTAGCGGACTAGTCCGATGTAAACATAACAGTCAATTGTGGATTTTCCACATTCCACTAGATTATATTGGGCCCATGTTATTCATTTAGTTCCTGCCCTTAAAATCAGTAATATCATATTTCTTGAAGTTAAAACCAAATTTTGAGCTATTTAAAACAAACTGAGGGATAATTACTACTTGTAAATAAATAATAAATAAATACGTACGGATCCAGGCTCTGCCCCAACATCCTCCATAAAGACACGACCAAAGAGCTCCAGTGACAGACGCCAGCGGCCCAGCAGCATGTCATGAGAGATCATCATCCCCATGAAACTACAGTGAGGTCTGGAGAGACACAACAGGCACAAATGATGTTGCTGTAAGTGCATTTTATTAGCACATAAAACAAAGTTGAAGTATATTAAAACATTTGAGGTTGTATTCAGGGGTTCTGTTAGCCTCCTCCTTAGCTATGCATCACAAAGCACAGATTAGTGTTTAGTACCTGAATGATGGGAGAGGAGGTCCATCACTCTCAGTGAGACCTATCTCAGCGAGTAGGCTGCTCTTCAGCTGGGCAGCGAGGTCGTGGGGTGAAGGACCCGGCTTGGAAGCCTCCATCTCGCCTGCCATCGACTGGTTCTCGGAGCTCCGCTGGCCAGTTTCCATACTCATCACATTCTTCAGGTTGGCCGAGTAAGACATCTTAGTGGGCAGGATCTGTTTCAGTGGGGTTCAGAGTCGCTCTTTAGTCATGGGAAGAGATGTCTTTGATGTTGACAGTGTGATGATGAATGAAAATGACACAGACCACAGGCTGTGCTCCAATATCCACCATTATTTTTATATAAAATATCCATTGTTTCCTAGTGTCCATTATTTACAATGCTTTCATTTACCATTGGAAAACTGAGGAAATGATGAATCCTGGAAAGCTTTCGCATATTTCTATTTGAATGTGTACTTTTCATGGTGTTTGCTATAATGTGTGGATATTAGAATACAGCTGCCAGTGTGTTTGTACAGTGAGGAGGGGTGGTATACCTGAGAGGGGGAGGGTAGAGAGGAGCCCATGTTTACCTCCAGGCAGTTCCTGTCCATGCTCGCCTCAGCCAGGCCTTTGGTTGCCATGTAGGAGGAGGAGGAGGCGGAGGAGGAGGCGGAGGAGGAAGAGGAGTACAAGCCCTGAGAGGGCCGACCGAACAGATCCTCCTTCCTGGCATTAGGCTGTTAGAGAATAAAGGAAATTAAGTTGAAACCAAAGACTGCATTTGGTCCCATATATTATATTGTGGTTACAGTTCAGTCAATCTAGCGAACGATTGTATGCTCCGATGTGTTGGTGTAGTGTTCTGCTAGCTCTGTGATTACAAAGTATTCACTGGCTCTGCCCAAGAAAGCCTTGTGGCAACATGGGGATTTTGCTAGGAGCATAGAGCAGATTGACTATATATAGGTCATACAGATAGATATCTTTCAAGCTTTCATGTAAGAGTGCACTTTGCACCCCTTCCAATTTAAAAGGCAGACACTGTACAGACTGAGCCCAATTTGTGAAGAATTGTTTCTGGCCCATTTTTAGATCTGGGCTTGTTTGATTGGATACTGTGAAAAGATTGTAATTAACTGTATTGCACTTTTTTTTAGTGTTTTACAGAAGTATATTCAGGGTTCCTGCAGGTTTCGCCAACTAAAATTTAAGACTTTTTAAGACCACTTTGAATAGAATTTAAGACCTATTTCACGGCAAGAAAGTATAAAGGAAGTAAAGAAAATT